AAACAATAATACAGTAAATTTACAATAAATAAAAGACTGGAACAGTATAACGAAACAAAATTTAGCGGACTATGATATGCTTAAATAGGTAAATCGTTTTGGATCGGGGTATCTGATATACTGGAGGAACACCGGTGGATCTACTCCTCAGATATGGGTGTCATAACAGTGAACATTTTCTTTCCTGGCGAACCAGATGAATATACTTCAAAAAAGTGTGTTGTAATATATAATGGGCACCATGAAAAGTGGGCAGATCACTCATGCAGTACTAATAATTATTTCATTTGTGAAGAAGATAATGGGTAAGCATTTCAAAGACTTTGTTGTGATAAGCGATTCGATGCGATATATCCTGGTGAACTTGAGATAAAAGATACCACAGAGTCCGACACTTCTGCTTCATACCTGGATATTTTACTTGAAAAAGACACTAATGGTAATCTAACAACCAAGCTATATGATAAACATGATGACTTTAAGTTTTCTATCGTCAACTTCCCTTACTTATGCAGCAATATACCTTCATCACCTGCATACGGAGTATATATATCTCAGTTGATTCGATACGCAAGAGCGTGCTCTACGAGGTAAATTATTGACAAGCAAGTTGATGAAACAAGAATATCAACAGTCTCGTTTCAAACTATCATTCTAATCTTATGGTCATATAATACGACCTTGCCAACAAATGCAATTTATCATTGAGTCATATGCTGACTTTTCATACCAATTGTTAGTCCATTATTTATATTATTTATATACTGAATTGACGACGGATTTTACCGTTAATTCATGATCATGACAATGCGCACACGGCGGGGATGGTCAATCTTCCATGGCACCTGATCCCACCTTTGATGTTTCGGTGGTCCGTGTTTTCTGTGCTCTTGTTTTGTATTGTTTTATGGACTTTGAGATTGAATACCGTTCGTTATATCCATATCCTTCTTATTAATTCAAGTACGGTTAAAAATTATTGTGAAATAAAGTTTCATATATTTTGAATTCTATTAAGATTTGTTTTATTATACTTAAATATTTTTATATCTTGAATAATTTACTTAGAACTGTCTTATATTTGTTACAGTTTAAAAAATGGAGAAGTTATTGGCTGAGAATCAACATTTTCAGTTCAAAAGTTCTAGAAAATTATACAGAAAAAATATCGATTTCAATTGTTTGCAAACTACTAACATGTACACCTATACAAATACATATGATAAAACTTGATTTTTAAATGTTCTTTGATCATAAGCTTGATGGTAGTTTATGTTGGGAGCGAAATATTTATTTAAAGTAATACAGCAGCATTAGGTCATAGTTTATCATTATTATGTAAAAGAAGAGGCTTGAGGGCTAATTTAAAATGTTCACTTATACATGTATTACTATTTTTACTGCATAATCAACTTTGAATTTATGTCGAGATAACAAACAGTAATCTAGCTCAAACGTAATAAAAATGTAAATCAGGCGCGGAGCAAATATAGCTACAGATCTGTAGCTTGCCGATCTGAGAAATAAAGACTAGCAAGCCATATATGGTTGTGTAGATAAATTATCGTAGAGGACATAGGTATAAATAGTTTGCCACTGCCTTTCCTCTGAAATTGTAAATGAGCGCGATTTTAAGGGAGGGATACTCCGTGTAATTCACAGTTAGATTCCTCGTATTATTATTTTACTTTGGATTAAAATTTATTTCCCAAACAAGAACCCGTGCTTAAAAGATGTTTTTTTAAATCCCTGTAACATGACTACACTTTGTCAGTAGTCTACCTTTGAATTGATTGTACTCAGAGTATACTCGAATGAATTGGGAGATATAAACACCATGCAAGTGTAGCATAACACTAGTATTACTGTATATTGTAATTACAAATTAATTACTTACTTAAAGCTTAAAACCTAACGACTTTTCAACTTTAACACAACAATTCCCCACCACAAATTAAAATCCAGGCTTTTTGATATCATTGACAGCTGCTTCTTCAATAAAAATGGAACTCGTAAAATTAATTACCTCGTCATTGGTCATTTGCAAAATTATTTTGTTAAAACAGATTCTGATTGCACACATAAGTACTCTGAAGTTGACATCAAGAAGATGCTTGAGTTTCTGATTGACAATATCTATGTGGTTTTTTGGAGACCAGGTATTCCAACAATCTATTGGAATTCCCATGGGTACAAATTGGGCTCCGTTATTAGCAGACTTATTTTTGTATTCATATGAAGCAGAATTTATGCAAAATCTTATGCGTGAAAAGAAAAAAAACACTTGCTGTGGCCTTCAACTCGACATTTAGATATATCGACGACGTATTGTCAATTAATAATGATAATTTCCATTCCTACGTCGATACGATATATCCTGGTGAGCTTGAGATAAAAGATACCACAGAGTCCGACACTTCTGCTTCATACTTGGCTATTTTACTTGAAAAAACACTAATGGTAACAACCAAGCTATATGATAAACGTGATGACTTTAACTTTTCTATCGTCAACTTCCCTTACTTATGCAGGAATATACCTTCATCACCTGCATACGGAGTATATATAACTCAGTTGATTCTATACGCAAGAGCATGCTCTACAGTGTACGTATGAACATTTTCTTAAACGATGTAAATTATTGACAAGCAAGTTGATGAAACAAGAATATCAACAGTCTCGTTTAAAGTCATCATTTCGTTAGTTCTATGGTCGATACAATGACCTTGTCAACAAATACAATTTATCATTGAGTCAAATGTCATTGTGAAGTTGTTCATAACTAATTGTTAGTCCATTATTTATACACTGAATTGACGACGGATTTTTTCCGTTATTTCCTGATCAGGACAAGGAGCACACGGCGGGTGTGGCCGGTCGGCAGGGGATGCTCACTCCTCCATGGCACCTGATCCAACCTCAGATGTTTCGGAGGTCCGTGTTTGCCCTGCTCTTATTTTGTATATTGTTTAATGGACTTTGAGATTGAATACTGTTCGTTATCTCCATATCCTTCTTGCTATCGATTATAGAAAGTGAAACATTCAAATATGAAAAAAAAGTGTACATTCCAAAAATGAAAATATTTAAGCAATTTTGATCTGATACTTTGAAATAGACCTACATAAAAAATTTAAACTAGTTCTTCTTAATGAAAATGTAATCAAAATCCAGCATCTGAAGCAAATTTGAGATTTTCATCTCTTGATGCAACATTTGTGCAAGTTCGGTTTATACTATGTTATATGAGCCTTATAGGTTTTTGGTATTAGACCTGCAACCATAACTTTTACCTGGTCTATTATCTGAAAAATGTATGTCAAATTCAGCATCCGAAGCAAGTCCATTAGTGTGCATCCTAAGATGTATCGTCCATGCAAGTTTGCTCATTATAGGGCTCATAGTTAATTGGAAATGAAACATGTATTAAAAACTAACATTTTCAGTCATCCACAAAAAGTAGGTCAGATTCAGCATCTGAAGCAAGCCTGGTAGTATGCATCCTTAGATGTATCATCCATGCAAGATTGGTCAACATAGGACTTATAGTTACTTGGAAATGAAACCTGCACCAAAAACTTCAACCTGTTCACTCAACCAGAAAATGTAGGTCAGATTCAGCATCCGAAGCAAGCCCAGTAGTGTGCATCCTTAGATGTATCATCCATGCAAGTTTGGTCAACATAGGGCTTAAAGTTACTTGCAAATGAAACCTGCACCAAAAACTTTAACCTGTTCATTCAACTGGAAAATGTAGGTCAGATGCAGCATCCGAAGCAAGCCCGGTAATATTCATCCTTAGATGTATCATGCATGCAAGTTTGGTCAACATAGGGCTTAAAGTTACTTGCAAATGAAACCTGCACCAAAAACTTTAACCTGTTCACTCAACCGGAAAATGTAGGTCAGATTCAGCATCCGAAGCAAGCCCGGTAGTATGCATCCTTAGATGTATCATCCATGCAAGTTTGGTCAACATAGGGCTTATAGTAACTTGGAAATGAAATCTACACCAAAAACTGCACCAAAAATGTTAACCTGCTCCAAAAACATTAACCTGGTCATTCCTTTGCTGAAACTGCAGCATCTGAAACTTTGAATGGTACAATGAAACACAGTAGAACCATCTTCCATGCATGTCTAATCAATATAGGACATAAAAGTACTTAAAAAGAAAACTGCTCCAAAAAACTTAACCTTAACCTGGGACGCCGACGCCGACACGGACGCCGACACGGACGCCGACGCCGAGGGTATTACATAAGCTCCCCCAACTTCGTTGAGGTGAGCTAAAAATATATACTGTTCATCATGATTGATCTTCTTGCACTATAGGATTGTAGGTTGGATTGCCATATGCTTTCATTCATATTTGCCAAAAAGCAACCATATCCCTTTGAATCAAGCATATGTATTGTTCCTAAAATAATCACTAAAAAGTCAGGAAAAGTTTTGATAGAATCTCAGTAGGTTCCCAAACAGGATACAAAACTGTGACCTTCATTTGATTTAACCTTTTAAAAAGGGCCTCAATCAGCAAAGGTACAAGACAGGGAAATATATTGCGTATTACTAAAATTCTTACCAAGGGCAAAATTTAGCAATTTTTCATTAACAAGAAGTCTCTGATAAGACTGTAACTCTACTAGTTTATACTTATAATGAAGGAAGGGAAAAGTAGCAGTGTTGGACTTGAAACTTTGAGACAGCAATTAATATCAGTGTTTTAGCCTTTTTCTTGGCAAGGTTTATTGCAATCAGACAAAAACGGTAGAAGGATCGAGTAGCATTTTAAAAATATTTCAAAGAAATTTCGATTGTTAGTTACCATGGCAACACCATTCATTGAAATCAAACATTGATATTAAAACAGAATTTTAATTGTTTTAGGGCAGATGGACAGATTGACAAGCAGACAGGATGGACACTTTATGATCAAATAACCTCTATGGAAACTTTAATAGCAGTTCATTTATTTGTGGTTCATTCAATCTACAACTCTATGCATTATGTGAAATGATACATACCTGTATTATCTCGTTAAGGCTAAAGACGTAGGTCCTCTCGGTGTCCACAATCTCCGAGATCACCCTCTGGACTCGAGTGACATACTTAGTGGGCGAGTCCGGTGGTCTAGACTGGGGGGTGGGAGTATTTTGTGAGGGTGGCAGATTGGAGGAGGCATTGTCCACTGAGACAACTGATGAGCACTCAGATGCTGAAATACTTGGAGAGGAACTGTGAGAGGAAGGAAGTCTGAGGGAATTCTGGGATACTGAGACAGATTCTGAGTTTTCGGCTGACAGTGTTTCTATGGCAGTCTTAGTTATTTTAGTTATCTGAGGTGAAGTGTCTTCTGCAGTCTTTGGTCCCGTTTCTTGGTCAATAAAAACTCCATGAGACTGGTTTGGAGAAATCACAAATTTGCAAGTTTCTACCTCTTCCTCCACATTTTTGTTTGGAGATAAATCACTCACTGAAATATCTGGTGAACTTTCAACAGATTTTTCTTGGATCAAGGACTGGTCCCCTTTTTCATCATCAATGTATAGAATATGATCAAGCTTTGAAGAACTGCTGTCTATAGAGCTCAAGTTTGGTTTTTTTATCACATGATGTGAAAGAGATGAGGAGGAAGAGGATGACCCTGACCCAACACTCAAAGGTCGTTTTTTACACTCACTTGGGTCAAGGTCACCTTTCTCAGTTGGTGAAATTTTACCTTGACCTTCCAGCTCCATAATGGAGTCAGAGTCAGTTGTATCACATTCATTCGATATCACCTGAATTGCAATTGCATGGTCCTGATTGGATAAAATTGTATCATGTGATCCATTCTGGGTTTCTGATTGGTTAATTCCATCCGAATTTAAGTTGTTTTCTAAGGCTAAGCTGTCATATATGGAGAGCAAAGATGGAGCCAAGTCCAAGGATGAACCTGCAAAAAAAAGAAAATGTGTATAATTCAGATGTCTGTTATATGATGCACCAATTACAGTGAAAGCCTATTATGACAGATGTCTTTGATTTAAGCAACTGTTATGATGATGTGTTCTGCAGATAACCCAGCCAGAGCATGACAATTATTAAACAAACTCGAGCCACAAAACCCAGTAAGTCATGTAAAATATGATCATTTATCACACAGACGACTGCAGCAACTGTTGTTTCCTGAAGAAAATCTGCTTCCATTCACTATATGCTCTGTGTACCTTAAGCATCTATAGCTTATAGCTCTGCTGCACATTTACCAGATACATATCTCTCAATACATTATGTTCCAATTTTCTTACATCCTTCACTTGATTTCCCAAACTCATCTATGTGTAAATAAACCTCCCAAAATAAAATTCATGAATATGGAAAACATGATGCAGCTCTCTGTATGTAAACTCAGATGTTGTCAAGGTCTTGAAGTTAATTTCTTCAAATTAAATTTGTACAATTATAATATTTTAAATAAATCCTTGAACATATTCATTAAATTATCATTTAATTAAAATTTTAAGCAACTGTTACATAATGAATTGCAACGTCACATGAACCCACATCCCTCATTCTATGTTTTTATAAATAGGGAAATGATAATCTAGAGTTTTATGGCCTGCTGCATGTGTGTGGCAGGGAGGGGTAATGGAAAATAAAAACTAAATGTTATCTACCCTAATAATTTCTTATAAATTGCTAAACTAATGAAAGAATCTGTGTATAATTACTTCCTTGATAGACAAGCACAGATTTTTACATTCCTTGGAACTGGGGCTTGACATACCTATATAATTCTCATCTGGAACAATTTACGTGTTACAAATTTTTCTTTCCAATATATAAATTAGTATCCTCCAATAAATAAAAGCCAGCATTTGAACTCCATCCAGCGTCTTGGTGTTTACTCCCTTAATCAACAAGGAGGGCCCCGAGAACCTCGCTGAATTTATAAATAAATTCGGAGCACTTAGGAACACTTGGCAGATGACCCCTATACAAACTTGGGTAAGTTATTAACCATGTAAAAGTTGGAGTGGATATATGAGATATAAAGTGGTCCCCCCACTCCCACATGTCCAGAAGTCTAGCTGCATCCACTCTGAAGAAATACACTGTTTATATCCAAAGGTCAATCCACCCATTGAGCAGATAAATTGAAGTACAAATTTTTTGTGCATAAATTACTTCTTCATACCCGAAATTGGTGCACATATACTAATTTCAGTAAAATCCACTGAAAATAACTTAAAACTTAATGGAAAAAAATAATATGTAATTCGTAAATATTTTTATTTCCTATCTAGCTTGTAACACGAGCTTTGATTGGTTACAAAGTCGGGTGTAAATATCCGTGCACCCGACTTCAGCCGGGTGTAAATAAAACGTGACGTCACGATGCAACATTCTCTATGATAAAAAGATTGGGATACACTCTGTATGTTTACAAAGCATTTTTATGGATACAAAGGAAATAAATTCGTTATCCAGGTTCAATCAAGGGTGTATTTTACCCGGGTTGTATTCCATACACCCTTCGGCCTGCGGCCTCAGGGTGTATGGAATACAACCCGGGGTAAATCCCCGTACACCCTTGATTGAACCTGGATAACTAATAATGTATATACAGAGATATCACCTTAATGATCTCTACCCTAGATAAACAATTTAAAGTGCAAGTGTGTCATTCTTAAAAATACATTAACAGAAATGTCTTATTTATTCCTATCTTTTCATAAATTTGCTCACATCTTCTCACTGCAATTCACTCTTTTCACTCTTTTAAACTAATTTTTTTTTCTATACACTAGAGTATATCTGGAAATTTTCATCATATTTATTATCTTAAATTGGTAAGACACTAACCTTAATAAATACAGAGCAAATAAGTGCTTAATTCCCCTCCGAATTTTTCTCTCCCCTGTGTTTTTTTGGAATCCAAATATTTCATATCTAATCTATGTATAATTCATGAATATAAATATCATGAAGACTTGACCTTAACTTCAAAACAAAACAGCAGTTGCAGACAAAGGTTTTCATTAACTTAAAGTGACGGATAAAGATAAGCTTACAAAATTTTCTGCAGCAGGCTAGATAATTAATCTGAAGGGATTAACCGTGCCTCATCCTTTTCTTCTAAAGTTACAAAAGAACTTTTTCAGTATTTATAATGATAGAATGGGGGTTGGGGTTTTTATACAACTACCTTAAAAATAATAATATTCTTGAATTTACATAAAGGGAAAAAAGTAAAAATAAAAAATATATATCTTCTTTTATCTATTTCTTGTTTTTAGAATTCAATGAAATCATAACTATTTTAAAATAAAAATAAAGTATGAACATTTATATATTCAAATCACATTTCATAATGTTCATAGCATTCCAAATTGACTTAACTTCAAAACAAACTTCAATTGCAGACAGAGGTGGTAATTTAATCTTGAATGTGAAGGATAAAGATAATGCTTTGGATTTTCTTCAGAGAGGAAAGCTAATTAATCCTAAGGGACTCATAGCAGCATTCAGTTTACAATGGAAACATCTTCAGCAGTTATCTCCCCTTTGCCAATGCATCCTATATAAAGTTAAAGGAATCTACCCCACCACCCAGCTCCAAACCAGGGACATAAATAGAAACAAACTTAAAGCATCAAAAGATGTCTTTCTGTCTATTGAACTACCATACCAAATTTGATTTTAATTGGGCAACCATAAAAAAAGTTATTAGGAAAAAACAGAAAATTTGTGGACGGAAGAGTGACAGAATGGACAGACTATTAATGACACACATTTGGTTATATATTGGGTACATCAAGTCCAAGTCCTATTGGATACTGCTTATTGGATACAAAAAAAGTGTACACACGAGAGAGCATTATTTGGGTAGTTACTGTTCAAATCTTATTGGATATTAATCCTCGTGTCCGTATTTTATTGGGTTTTTTCTTATTGGTTTTTATTCATTTCAAATTTATTATATATTTAATATTTGCTGGTAAATTCAGACAAGACTGAAAACCTTTGGTATTGAACCCATATTTTTGTCAATTTCTTGTGAAATAGCTCTTTTATTGTAACACCTAACTAATTTGTTCTTAGCAATAAGGATATACACCTGTAAATTTCAAAATATCTAATATTAAAATATATGAATACCTTGAGTACACAACTCAACACATCTAGACTCTGTTCAACCTTTGAATGACAAAATTAGAATTTGAAGGAGAAACCTTTTTGAGTCATGACCAATTAATAATAAGCAATTTGCATTACATGTTGGACAATGAGACATTTATATAACATTGGACAGGTGTCCAATACCGTTGGATTGTATTTTGACGAAGGGATTAAACTACCCAAGTAACAATTGAACATGTGTACATGGGTTTTCTCAATCCATCATCAAAAACACAACCTAATAGGTAAATGGACATGTCCAACTCCTCTTGGATACTCCACATCCCACCCAACAGGTAATGGACACTTGTCCAATTCTTCTTGGGTTTCTTCTCAATTGTTTCATCTGAATACAACCCAACAAGAAATGGACACCTGTCCAACTCTTCTTGGATATCTACATTCCACCCAACAGGTAATGGACACTTGTCCAGTTTTTCTTGGGTTGCTTAAACCTCCTCATCTGAATACAACCCAACAAGTAATGGACACCTGTCCAACTCTTCTTGGTTATCTACAATCCACCCAACAGGCAATGGACACTTGTTCAAATCTTCTTGGGTTTCTTGAATCTCCTCATAAAATACAACCCAACAGGTAATGGACATCCGTCCAACTCCTCTTGGATATCTACATCCCACCCAACAGGTAATGGACACTTGTCCAATTCTTCTTGGGTTTCTTGAATTGTTTCATCAGAATACCACCCAACAGGTAATGGACATCTGTCCAACTCCTCTTGGATATCTACATCCCCACCACAGGCAATGGACACTTGTCTAATTCTTGGGTTTTTTGAATTGCACCATCAAAATACAACCCAACAAGTAATGGACACCTGTCCAACTCCTCTTGGATATCTACATCCCACCCAACAGGTAATGGACACTTGTCCAATTCCTCTTGGGTTTCTGGAATTGTTTCATCAGAATAGCATCCAACAGGTAATGGACACATGTCCAACTCCTCTTGGATATCTACATCCTACCCAACAGGCAATGGACACTTGTCTAATTCTTGGGTTTTCTGAATCTCCTCAGAAACAGAACCACAGGTACGGACATCTGTCCATCTTGGATATCTACATCCCACCCGAACAGGCAATGGACACTTGTCTAATTCTTGGGTTTTAATCCTCATCAGAATACTACCCAACATGTAATGAACATTTGTCCATTTGCTCTTGGGTTTCTTCATCCCTTCAATAGTATATAAACTAAAAGGTATTGGACATTCTTCTCTGGGTTACTTAAATTTTATAACAAAGAAAACCCAATAGGTATTGGACATTGGTTCACTCTTCTTGGATATTACATCCAACATTAGAATAAAACGCAACAGGTGATGTTAACCTGTCCAATTCTTCTTGGTTTATGAGGTCCCCATTAAAATTATGGATATTTATACTTATATATTGCAAACCCAATAAGTATGACATTTACCTTCCCTAGTTGAATTCAAATTTATCTGCATAAAAATACATAAGTCCAAAACATATTTAATACTTTAATTCTAATATTCCACATCTCATTCAGTGTACACTTTACAAATGATAGGAAATATATAAGCACTTTGGGCCTAACCTATTTGGCTTTTAAAGAATTTTATAACCATGTTTGCAAAATTTAAATTTAAATATTGGAACTTGGAGCAAGTCATTACAGGTAGAGCAGACGCTGAAAACCATACTGATAAATAGATCACACCCTTGTTAAGTATTTGCCTTCATTTGCTAAGATTGTGTTGTATTATATTGAAAATTTCTATAATCCTGTTTATTACAGATACATGTACAATGCATATTTTCCCTGTAATAATAAAAATACTTCTGAGATGTAAAAGAATGGATTAAATAGTCACCGATGTTAAAAGATATTACAGGATCTCATTAATCTCGTTTGGAAATCACAAACTTAGTTTTGAAGCCGATAAAACAGTGTCGCTCCAGAAAACTCAGTTACAGGTACAATGAATGAATTCGTTGTATCAAAACTTTAAAATAATTGATGCACTATGTCCAAATCTTTTCGACAAATCGGGATAAATATATTAAATCAAATCATCACTGGTTATAAGTCTTAGAGCTACAAAAGTCATTACATGCCCAAATTTTACATGTAAGACTTTGATCCTATATTTCAAT